GAAGGGCGCTGGAACGCGCCCATCACAGGCACGGCAATAACCTTCGAGACAGGATGGCTGATATAAATACGTGGCGTGTGAGGCCATAGGCAAAATAGATGGCGTAGGTTGCCCGGCGAGGGCAGGGATGCGATGCGCACGTCCAATATTACGATACTATCGAAGTCCCGAAGAAGAAGAGCGCAATCTGGTTATCGTCGTGTTACTCTGACGACTCGTCCGACACACATCCGACATTTGCCTGTCACACACCGCTGACACCCCAGACGTCATCACATTGTTAAAAGCGAACGTCTGGCTGTGTTGGTTCGCGTCTGCGCGTTGATGGAAGCCGGCTGACGGCGGTGTTTGTATAATCAATACGAGCCGTGGTCCGTGGTGGATGAGGCTGCGCTGAGGGTTGAGGCGCTGCAAGAGGGACAAATGCGGGGCGCGCGGGCTTGGACTTGTGTTCGAGCACGAGCTGTTGATCCTGCAAATCCCCTGCTGAAGAGAACAACGTGGTGGTGTACACCGAACAGGCGGGCACGACCCCTGGACCACGTGTTCCGGGCGCGCGGAGTTCGCGTATCAGAATATGGAGCGTGTGTGGAACGGCGAGGCGAGGGAAGCGCGTAGCGACAGTCAGCAAGATACGATAGTGCTTGACTGACAGACTCAAAGTGATGAGTGTTTGTATGTTCGGCACTCTAGTTCTATGTTGAATACTGGAAATTCCTTTCGATATTGAATGGAGGAGAAAGACATGGAACCCGTTATCAAGAATTGAAGGCTTGAGGCAACCTCTTCTGGGCCGACGACGGCGTGCCAAACTATGGGCAGGCGGGATGTGCAGAATACGAAGGGATTTGGGTGTGCAGGTTTGGTACCAGCCCGCACCACATACACTGAGGGGAGCATCAGGCCGTTCATCACAGAGGGCGAAGGCGTGCTTTGGGTTGAGGGCACGGAGTATCCCATCAGGAAGGGCGACGCCGAACGACTCCGTGATGTGCCGCCCAATGGAACACAAGTTCAGCGCAACACGGCGCTACCACGCGCCTGAGCCGTTTTTCCGTACGGCCACGTAACGGTGTGAAATCGCTCACAATTCGGTCGAGTAGCTCCGTCTCTACAGGAGGACGCGAGACATGCCACAGATGAGTGGGCTCAGCGCTCGCCCTCGCAGCTTTGCGTTCAGAGGGCGTGGACACCGTGTTCACGCTGCCAAGGGGTGTGCTAGATAATGGCTGCATGTACGACGCGACTGCATGAGTGCCAGAACGGAATAACACTAGTACACACTCGCCACGAACAGGCGACCACCTACATGGCGACGGGCGACGCAAGTTACCGTGAGTATGTACACGGTAGGCGTGGCGATGGTGGAGTGCTGGTCCGTGCGGCGCCACTCAATGCAAAAGAACCGCGACGTCCAGCCTGTGGGAAGCGCAGTCGTCAGCCGTGCTGTGATGCTGTCAGCAGATTGCAAGACAAGTGGCGCAGTGGGCAAGCGGCCAGGGCAGCTTCACGAAGTCGAAGACCACAGTCTCGATGGTCAAGCCCATCACTAAGTAAGATGGATCATCGCGTAAACGATGGTGGGCGAGACGCTTCCTGATCAAGCGGCTTGCATCATGAGCGTTTCGCCAGCTGAAAGAACGGGCGTGCAGAGGCCATGTCGACTAGAAGTGGCGCCCGCTACGCTTGCTGCGATTGGCGAGGCGCCCAGCCATCATCGAGCCGGCGGGTTCTAACGCCGGCATTGGCTAATTCGGCGGTGACATGAGAGCATGCGAACCGGCATGCTTCGACGGAGGCCGAAGGAGCGAGCAAAAGCAGAAAGCAAAGAGAGAGGGATCGAGCACTATCGCGTGCGCGGTGGCACATCATATCAGGGCGCGTCCGCCGAATTGCACATTGGGTGGCGGAGTTTCTGTCAGCGGCAGAGAGTGAGCCACGCAGCAGTGCAAGTGGCACTCATTCCTGCCGAGCCACGAGCTGCTGGTGGGTGTGTGTGAACTACGCAATGATAGATGTCGTGTCAAGAAGAATGTGCTCCTGAATTGCGACGCATGTGCTGCCGTTGGGACGCGGCTGCTTTTCCGGGTCCTTGTAAACCTGAAAGCGTGCCAGACATCATTCACCTCAGTAGCCGCTGACGTATCGCTGAGAGTTGGGAAGAATCTGACGCACTGTGAGTGGGCCATCGTTGTTGGGGACGCCACGCAAGCTTAGCCAGCTACTCGTCTACGGCGCGCGCTGCGAGCAATCAGCGGCCAAAGGAGTCTCGCCCAACAGGAAATTGCGGGTTTACCGGAAGACTGCCCAATGATGAGCTTATGGAGCGTGCGCCCGCCGCCGATCAGATGCGGCATTATATCAGGACATCGCGCCGCGCTGACGACGAGACTATTGTCGTCGGGTGCGCAGGACATGACTAACGTGCGGTACTGGAGTCATGTTGCTCTTGCCTGTGAGTGTGTCGCCGCACGCTAAGTGTTACACCATAATCGTCGTCACTTTTCGCGGCACGCTGGGATATGCGTAGACCCAGACGGCGCGGGCGCGCAGGTCGGGCAGACGACAGCGCGTGGTCGCGCGATGCGAGAAGGCGCGACGTGCGGGTTTATGTACACATACAGGAACTTTCCACAGCGGCGCGATACGGCATCAATGCTGTTGCGCGGTGGTGTTCACAATCACGGCTACGCGCGCGTCGAGGTGTGGGATCAGACGCACTACAGTAGTCTCAGGTGGCAGGTTTAATTTCGGAACTGACTTGAACATCGCGGATGTTCCTAGAAGGTAGCGAAGCCTTTGAGCTCCATTGTGCGCGGCAGTTTGAAGGCTAGCGCCTAGACGACATGAGGGGATGCGCTGCACTGCGGCAGGCATTCAGGTGCGAATAGCGTCCCGGTGTACTTCGGAAGTGGAGCTTCGAATATGATGCCGCCGTTCGCAGATAGTGCGCGGTGGGTAGATGCGATAGTGCTCGATGGACACTCCAATATCGGTGCAAAGAAGAGTGCCGGGGTCGGGAATGATTGCCATGTCGGTCGCCGCCCATCTTCAGTCGCGGTCGACGGACCCGAGAATGCTTAGAAGGCGTCTTCCTGCCCTGGGCATGTGCGGTTCTGCGAAAGTCGGCGTGCCGGTGTATGTGCGAGGCTTCGGAGCTTCAGCTCGGTGTGTAGTTCTTCTGATCCAGCGCATGTGAGACCGTTGTAGGCTGTATGCGCTCTCTCTCGGCTCGTGTAGCCGGGGTGCGTGCACGCGGCTTCGTCTCTGACGGCTACTGGCCTTGGTTTGCGATGCTTCAGAGGTCCGCGAGTTCGTCTGCAGATCTGCGTGCTTGCGAGGGTGCACACTGATCTCTTGTGCGCCCTGCTGCCGGTGTCCTCTCGCTACTCTGCAGCCTGGTGGACTTATGCGCTGCGACCATCCGGCCCGGGACACAGAGATGCGGCGCCTGTGGCGGCGGTCTTCGCTCAACGCAGGCATGCACACCCGGCTGCTCTGTCCTGTGATGTTGAGAGGCTGTCGATGTGCTGCGCTGGGCGCAGTCAGCCAGCCTTCGCGTACGTCGCTGAGCATTCGGGCGTTGCGGTGTGCGACTCTTTTCTGATGCTTTCTGTGATGGACCGCTCAGGCTCTCGTACTCACATGGATAGTTGTCAGGATCGGTCATCTTCGTCCTAAGGATGCCATGCTCGTCAGTGATGTATTCTAGAACGGATCGCTTGCCGTCTTTGTCAGACTGTGGAAGATGTGGCGACCACCCGCGCAGGAAGCCTTGCTGAGCCGTCCCACACGTTGTCGCGTGGATGGAGTGCTTGCTGCGACTCGTTCACCTCGTCATCGCGGCTGGGATGGAGGCGGTAAGCCCATGCCGCCTTTATGTTTTGTTTTTTGTGGCAGCGTGGCGCCGTTGTTGCAGGCATAATGCCGACCAGCAAGGGGCGGCGGGAGTAGTGGTTCGCATTATGACCGCAGTCGGGTGGGTCTTGAATGTCCACAGCCGAGACCCTGTTGTCAGCGCCAGCAAGGCTCCTTCTCGTTCAGTTCATGATGTACTCCCAGGATGCACATCGCCTGAGGTCCCAGCGCCGGCGTTCAGGCCCGGCGGCGTACGGACCCACCTCGTACAGCAGGTCTGCCATGATGTACACGCGCGGCTCAGCGATTCAACGAGGAATATTGCATGCCCCGCATCACCGCGTCGTCAGGGTAGCCAAGATGCCTCGCGGACTGAATTCGAAGAAATCCCGGTATAGGGCGCTTCCTCAACGACTTCGACCTTCGGGCCATAGCAAGTACAGCCCTGACGCGCGTTGCTCCACCTGTCGCTTGCCGCCGTATGCGAATGTGAGCGCCATGCCTAGAAGGGTCGCAGGTATGGGCTTGCCGTCTACCTTGAAGTCGGCTTCGTCGAGGTGCAGCCACGCTCGCGATGCATAAAGAAGGGCGTGTCGCCGTCAGCGATGGTTGTAAGTGCGGTTTGCGCGCAGGGATGTGGAGCGATAGTGTGCGCTCGGTGATGCCGAGGCGATTGCGCGCAGCACTCAAGGTGTCCACCAGGCGATGACCGCCGGAGTCTCGTCGTCGTCCAGGTAGCCGACTGCGCGCTCGCCTCGGGACCGGGGTGACGGCGTTGATGGCCATGTTGGTGATGGACACTGGACCTGAAATCTCGATGCCGGGCTGTGTCGCAGGTCGTCGGCACTTCAGGCACTGCCAGTCGCCGCTGCCTTGGAATCGGGCAGGGGAACCTCGGCATTATGCCTTCGTCGAGAAGCCTTGCGAAGCAGTGCTTCACGCTTGTCGCAGAACTTCCTGACACGGTCCGCGAATCTGTCGTCAGCCTCGACCACATATTCGAGGAAATGCCGTTGGGTTGTAGCAGCTCTTCGGTCCCTCTACGCACGGGCTGTAGCTTGACTCTGCTGTGCTGATACTGACATTGGTTTCTCCTCTAAAGGGCAGGTCTCTATTGCGTGAATGACGCTTTTGGTATTTCGTTATTGCGAGGTGTCTTCCTGCCATGCGTCGGCGACTGCCTTGGCTACGGCGGGAACGACATCCTTGTTGAGCGCGTAGGGGATAATCTCTTCGGGCGTTGGCTCTGGCACGAGGTCGGAAATTGCGAATCCGGCGGCGACCTTCATGCGGGCAGTAATGCGCTCGGCGCGCGCATCGAGAGCGCCGCGCATGATGCCGGGAAACGCGAGCACGTTGTTAATCTGGTTGGGCATGTCGCTTCTGCCCGTGCCAACTACTGCCGCTCCGCCGCGCATAGCTTCTTCCGGCAGAATCTCAGGGTCGGGGTTCGCCATAGGCAATACGATGGGGTCTTTGTTCATTGTGCGTATGTCGTCCGCAGTAAGGAGATTCGCTACGGAGAGGCCGATGAAAACATCCGCGCCCTTAAGTGCTTCCTGCACATCTCCCTTGATGCCTTCCGGATTGGTGGTGAGCGCAATCTCCTCTTTCGCGGGTGTCAGGTTGTCGCGTCCCTGGTAGATGATGCCACGCGTATCCGCCAGGATTATGTTCTCGACGCCCATCACCTGGAGTATCTTGCAGCAGGCGATTCCGCTCGCGCCCGCTCCACTGAACACGACCTTGACATCGGCGAATTCCTTGTTGACGACACGAAGAGCGTTGACCATCGCGGCAAGAACTACGACCGCCGTGCCGTGCTGGTCGTCATGAAAGACCGGGATGCCGAGGTCTTGGAGGCCGTCTTCGACCTCAAAGCACTTTGGCGCTGCTATGTCCTCAAGGTTTATTCCGCCGAATGTCGGAGAAATGGCGCGAACTATGGCAATAATCTCATCGGCTTCGTGCGCATCAATGCAAATGGGAAATGCGTCAATGTCTGCCAGTTCCTTGAACAACAGCGCCTTGCCTTCCATGACGGGCATCGAGCCTTCGGCCCCAATGTTGCCGAGTCCAAGGACAGCGGAGCCATCGCTCACGACTGCGACCATATTTCCCTTGCTGGTGAGGTCGTAGATTCTGCTGCGATCGCGCACTATCTCTCTGCAGACGGCAGCGACGCCCGGACTGTAGGCAGTTGACATGTCATCGACTGTCTTTAGCTCTACTTTAGAGTGGACACCGAGCTTTCCCCCTATATCGGGCGTGAAGCTCAAGCGCCATTTCGTCGTAGTTCATACACACTCCTTTGCCGTCGCGCGTGGACTTGGCGAAACAAGTTTATTCTGCGTGCTTAATGTTAGTCAAATATCTGAAGCTCGCTTGGGTGGAAGGGATTGAGGGGATCGATAAATGCTAGAAGATGGCGATGGGATTGACCGGACTGCCCGTGACATTGCGAAGGACGAGCGGGCCCATGCTGAGCATGAACTCATAGCGGTTGTGGCGGCGGCACGCTTCTGCAAGCTGCTCAAGATTGGCGTTGTCGATCAGCCACAACCCAAGTGTAACGAGGCAGAGCGTGTGAAGCGGCGAGCCTATGTTGGGGTATTGGCTTGGGCGCACATCGTTGGAGGTATCCGTTCCGAGCATGGCCACGCCGCGCTCCTTGAACCAAGGGGCGCATGCAGCCTGGCACGCAGGCGTTGGCTCGCCACCTGGCAGCGCGCCCTGCTCGATGCGGCGGCAGGTAGGTCGGTAGTAGCCGGTGCGAACAAGTAGGATGTCGCCTTGCTCCACGCGCACGCCGTGCAATTCTTCTGCGGCTTCGAGGTCTTCGGCCATAACGGGCGCATCGGGCTGGAGCCAGTCCACACCTCGCACCTGCGGTATGTCCAGCAGGACGCCGCGCGACACGATGCCGTCGGATGCGGGTTCGATGGAGTGGCTCTGCGCACCCTCGCGCGATGTCACTAGACTGGAGGGCACACTGTTGTACATCTTGCCTTCCCACGAGTAGTGCGACATTGCATCTATGTGCGTGACGCTCTGACCGTGGAATACCATTCCAATGAACTCTGCCGCGCCGCGCCGCGTGACTTTGCGTTCCGGTGGGTCGTTGTCTCTGCCTTCGCCGCTGTCAACCATGAAGCGCTGCACCTGGTAACGGATATCTGGCGCCGTGTCTGTCGTTACGGGTCGCGAGCAACTTACGACCTCGCCTTGCTGCACGAGCGATGCGGCTTGCGTGCGCTTTGCGGGTGTGATGAGATTGAGGCATCCCATCTGGTCGTCGTCGCCCCACCTTCCCCAGTTGCTGAGGGAGGTCATCCAGTCCAAGACTTGCGCTTCGCTGGGGATATTTCGTGTAGTCATTTCCTATACATCCTGTTTCCTATATGTCAGTCGGCGTCCCTTATAGGGAAAGCCCGTCAATGAACTGCGCGCCGGGTATCTTGGAAATGTCCTGAGGCGCAACTTTTATCTTGGACGAGCGGCTGCCCGATCCGAGGATGATGGACTCCTGCGACAGGAGCTTCTCGTCGACAAATACCGGCAGGTCTTCGGGCAACGCGAATGCGGTTACTCCGCCAATCATCATGCCAGTTAGCTCCATCGTCTCTTCGGCGGATGCGAAGGACGCGCGAGACACGCCCATCAGTCGCTTGACCGTCTTATTCACATCAAGGCGCGCCGAACCCTGCACGATGCAGGCGCAGTACTTCTTCGCGCCGCGCTTGGACGCGACTATGATAGTGTTGCCGCTGCCTTCCAGAGTGTAGCCGTACTTCTCGCAGAACTCGGCGGTGTCTGCGAAATCGGGGTCGATGCGAATGAGTTCGTGCGATATGCCTAGCCGGTCCAGGGTGGATACGACCTGTGCTTCGATGTCTGCTGATGCGCCGTCCGCTACTGTCATAATCGGTTCGATGCCTCCGTAAGATTGCGTCCATAATATAACGTTAGGAGGCTATAGGCGCAATGCCTGGAGTCTCACATCAATGATAAAATGCTCTTCGATCAGCGTTTCTGATATTGACGAGTGAGTTCCCGATTCTGCAAAAGATTCTCGACTGGCATCCGCGCCCGCGCTTCTACTATGGCTGGCTTGTTCTCGGAACGGCCGCTCTGGGCGCATTCATCGCTACGGGCGTGGCGCAGACGGTGCTAGGCGGCGTGCAAGACCTCATCGCAAGGGATATGGGCTGGGATCGGACGACGATTGCGTTCGCTGCGACGGCGGCTACTTGGACTTCAGGGCTGACGATGCCGTTCGTGGGCAAGCTGGTTGACCGCTACGGCCCGCGCTACATGATGCTCGCCGCTGCGCTGATTGTGAGTGCATGCTTCTTTGCGCTGGGCGGTGTGAACTCGGTGTGGCAATTCTATGTTGCGTATATCATCGCGCGCTCGTTCGCAGGACCGAACTTGCAGAATGTCGTGCCGCGCACTGTGGCGGTGAACTTCTTTCGGCGCAAGCGCAATCTGGCGCTGGGCATCACTGCGTTGAATCGCATCGGCGGGGAAGCGCTGAATTTGCTGATAATCACGCTTGTGGCGGGCGTACTGAGTTGGCGTGCTGCCTATCGCACGCTTGGAATTGTTGCGCTCCCTCTGTCGATTCCACTGTTCCTGATAATGCGGAAGCGACCGGAGGACATCGGGCTGCTTCCCGACGGAGATAGAGTAGAGCAGGGCAGGGACGTAAGAGGCGACAGTGTGCGCTGGCCTCCGGGCGAATTTGACTGGAGGCTGCGCGAAGTTGTTCTGGTGCCCTCGTTCTGGTTCATCGTCTGGGCGGAGTTTTTGGCGGTATCTACGACAGCGGCGGTTACGTTTCAACTCGTGCCGTTCCTGACAGAGGCGGGATGTCGCGGTCGCTTGCGGCGGGCGCGCTGATGGTTAGCGTACTGCTGGGCGGGCTGTCGGTGCCGCTGTGGGGGTACCTATCAGACAGGTTCACAATACGGCGGCTGACAATCGCGGCAGTAACGGCGACGAGCGTTCCGACCGTAGCGTTTGCGTTAATAGACGTGCCGAGCGTCGGCTTCTATGTGTCGGTAGTGTGGGGGATTGCATCGGGCGGCATCCCTGTGGTGGGTAGCATGATGATTGGCGACTACTTTGGCCGACGGTCTTTTGGGGCGTTGACAGGGCTGACGGGTCCGTTTCGCACGGCGGCGATGGGGCTGGGGCCCGCTCTGGGTGCGCTGTTAGTAAATGTGACGGGAGGCTACACGGCGATATTCGCGGTTGCGGTGGTGTCGTATATCGCTGCGGTGGCGCTGAATTACAGCGTGCAACGCCCGAGGCTGCCACCGAGAGCCGCCGCGTGACCGCCGCTGCGTGACTGAAGAATCAGTCTGCCTCGCGGATGCACTGCTCCAGAAGGTCGAAAGCGGCCCTTGCGAATGCCCACATGTTGGCTTCGCGGTCGTTGTCTCCCGTCTCGACGGTGATGGCGCGCTCGATTGGACCCGAGACGGCGATACAGGCATGGCCCGCGTCGTCGCCATATCGGTTGCCAGTGGGGCCGCTTGCTCCCGTCTCGCTGAGCGCCCACGTCGTGCCGAGAATCTCGCGCAGCGTTCGTGCGTTGAGCGCGGCGTAGTATTCTGTGCTAGCGCGTTGCCCTTCCATCGCCTCGTCGGGCACGCGCAGCAGTCCTGCCTGCCCCACGCGCGTATAGATTATCGCTCCGCCGACATAGTACGCCGATGCCCCCGACACCGACACGAGTGACGCAGACAAGAGCCCGCCACAGGATGATTCGGACACGGAAATGGTGTGGCCTCTTTCCTTCAGAAGTTCGCCGGCGGTTGTCGAAAGTGCGCTTAATTCTGTCATTGTGCTCTCCGTTTGGTATGTGTAAGCCGTTGCAGCCTGTACGCAGGGCTCGGTTGAGGGCGTTTGCCTTATGCTACACCAGATGCAGATGCTCGCGTACTTGTGGGTTGACTAAGTTGCGCGGCATCCTGCCGTCGAGTACTGCTGCCACTTCCTCGCCGTAGCGTCCGGTGCGGAGCTGCAGCGACAGGACGGATGTGTGCCCTGAGTGCGGCGAGAGCACTACATTATCCATCGAGAGCAGTGGGTTGTCACTGGCTGGCGGCTCTTTCTCGAGCACATCTAGGCCTGCTCCCGCAAGCCAGCCCTCTTGCAGGGCTTTAATCAGAGCGGCTTCTTCCACGACGGGACCGCGCGATGTGTTTATGAGATATGCGTTGGGCTTCATCAGGCGCAGCGCGTTCTCATTGATGATGTGGCGTGTCTCGTCTGTGAGTGGCGTATGCAGCGAGATATAGTCCGATTGGGACATCATTTCGTCGAACGAAACACGCGTCACGCCTCGCTCGGCGAATACCTCGTCTGAGATGTACGGGTCGTATGCGATGACATTCAACTCAAAGCCCTTGGCACGCTGCGCCATTGCGCTTCCAATGCGTCCGAGACCAAGGATGCCGATCGTCTCGCCATGCAGCGAACCGACATCATACGGAGGACGCGGTGTCCATGTGCTGGAGCGAATGTCGCTGTGCAGATTCACCACACGGCGATTCAGCGCCAAAAGCAGAGACATCGCCTGATTTGCTACCTCGCGCGTCCACAGGTCGGGGATGTTGATGACAGCAATGCCTTGCTCGGTTGCCGCTTCGACGTCGATGACATCGTAGCCGACGCCGGTTCGCAGCACGACCTTGCACTGCGTCAGCGACTCCAACACTCGGCGTGTCATCGGTGATTCGGAAGTTATGATGCCGTCCGCATCCCGAACATTCGCGATGATCTCATCCTCGTCATGCTTGGAATCAAGCAGTTCGAGGTCTGCGCCGACTTGTTCCAGCGCGGCGCGAGTGTCGGTCAGGTCTTCGCTCTGCCAGCGACCCATGTTAATAGACAGTAAGTTCTGTCGCTCATGTATGCCACTCCGTGAACCTGTCAATGAGAATTGACACTGACGGATAGTAATATCACGCAGCGTAGAATGGGTGATGTGGCGAAAAGGGCAGTGGCGTGTCCGACGGACAGGGGTAAAATGAGGAATCAGATGACGGCATAGCAGCGATCTCGCTGCGCTACTTGATGCCCGTCTGTGGCGTTTCCCATCCTGGTTACAATGGTCTGAATGGAAAATTGTGGAAAGGTAAGTGGTGGCAACGGGTGGGTTCGAACCACGACCTAACGCTTATGAAGCGTCCGCCTCTGCCCTGAGCGTACGTTGCCATCCGTTGAAGGATTAATATACGGGAAATCACAGCGGCAGTAAAAGTGATATTGCCCTGCACAAGGTGACAATGATGGATGATACTCAGATAGACCCGCTTATAAAGCGCGCTGTGGCTGATGACTCTGATGGAACGCTGCGTCGATCGAACTCAACAAGCTGCTGTGGAGCTTGCCGGGGCGTTGAATCCCTTCCAGATGTATGAATAGGAATAGCATGGATTCAGGCGGTCGAGATTGAGCCGGCAGGGACGTCGAATCTGACAACGCTGTGTAGTGGTGTGCCTGATGGCGAAACCTGCGGGAACTGTGTGCGGGATGATACCGGGGCCTTCGACATGGGAGGAGTTGAGCAGACGGACGAGATGGCGGAACTTGAACTACCGCAGGCGAATATGTCGCTTATGCCTACGCGGCTTGTGCACGAATTGCTTCGGCTTCTGGAAGAGCAGCAACGGGTTGATACAACTCGTCTGTACCGCGCTAAGGACCCCTGCGCAGTGCAATCGAGGCGGCACGCGCTGAAGAAGAACTCCCTACCAAGTCGGAAGAGTGCGGCTCCTATGCCATCAGGACGCGCACGCAGATCCTAGCAGGCACACCAACAAGCGGAGAGCCGTGTCGCGCACAGAGAATGTCTGAAATCAGCGGAAAGGAAGCTAGGCGCTCAACGTGACTCTGAGTACCGACACAGTCGCTGCCGAGGCAATGAACGGCAGTGACACGCCCCATACTCACAGAAGATCGTATCCGCTGCGAAAAGCACCCCGTCGCGTTCCAGCAGGTAGCACACACTGCCCGGGGTGTGACCCGGTGTGTGTATGACGCGGAGGTTGGGGTGGGGGTTTGGGGTTGGTTTTGGTGGTTGGGGGGGGGGGGGGTGGGGGGGTGGTGGGGGGTACGCCGACGAGGCAGGTATCACCTCATTCTGTAAGCGGCGGTCAACGAGAGTTTGGCTTAAGGTACGGATGGCAAGTTAAGGATGCGATACGGCCCGCGTAACTGAGGGTATGCGTATCCGGTGGCGTTGTGGCCGTGTCATCATGGTGGGCGACTATAGAGCGTTGCTGAGACGGGTAGCCCGGCGCGCCTACCGTGTCTGGTAGGGTGGCTGTTGCGTCACCAATATGCTAATCGCTCGCTTGGCCTTCCTTATGCTTGTGATTGTACTTGTAAACACGCCCACGCCCAGGCATGCCGTCGTGTCAACTAGCGTAAGCTCGTGTCTCAATCAATTTATGCGGGATATTTTAGTGATGGAACGGAATGGACGCCTGGAATAAAAGTTCAAAAAAAAAAAAAAAAAATCAAAAAAAAACCAAAAACCAAAAAATAAAAAAAAAAAATAAAACAAAATAAAATAAAAAAAAAAAACAAAACACAATAAAAAAAAAAGAAAAAAATAAAAAATAAATAAAAAAAGTATAAAATAAAAAAAAAAAAAAAAACTAAAACAAAAAAAAAAAAACGAAGAAAAAAAAAAAAATACTGAAAAAAAAAAAAAAAAATAATAAAAAATAAAAAATAAAAAAAAAAAAAAACAAAAAAAAAAAAAATAAAAAAAAAAAAAAAAAAAAAAAAAAAAAAAAAAAACAAAAAATAAAAAAAAAATGATAGCTTCCCTGAGAAAAACCTGTCGGCGCTGCTCTTACCAGTAGTTACGATTGCGCTCATGGAAGAAGTGGCCGGTTATGGAATATGTGTTCGATGTGCGTATAATTGGCGGAAACTTTGAGGAGGGGATCTAACTAATGAAATTGCATTTTCTACTTTCCTCGATTACTTGGCGGTATCGCAATGTCGCTATGCGCGCAGAGGAGGTTTGGCTTTCGATCGCTTTGGGTGCCGGAGCATCAATACTTGCCTGTCAACGCGAGTCGCCGTGGCACGGGTTCGGCGGACGGCGTCCTCCCCAGGGTCTATGGCGTACATCGTGGACCCGTTCGTGTGCGGCCTTGCCCGAGCGGTCTGCGGTTACGAGCACGATATAAAGCAGGGCAAGGGCACTAGCCTGTGCCGGAGCGTGCAACCCGCGTGCTGCTTGCGAAAAGAAGTGGCGACACTGGACATCTGTACTCCAAAGGGCGCTTCCTGTTCGGCATTGGTCGCCGGTTGGCATCGCGGAGGAAAGGACAGAGATAATGGGTGGCGACTTCCTTTCGACCATCGCTGGACCGCAACACGCGCGAGGCAATCCTGGCGATGAAGGACGCTGTGGACGAAGTATTTAGTAGGAAAGCGAGAGAGTTCACGGCAAGTAATACGACTTCCCGCTGTGTACTCGTTCCCGCGAGCCGACGCAGCGCCCGCACCCGCCGTGTGCTGGGCGGCATGCACGCACGCTATGTCGGCGCGCGTTAGACTTTGTTGACATATGGTGGCGACGGCTGGATGCCAACCGAGTAACGCCGCCGGAACAGAATATAATAGATATCATCTATCTACTAATTATCGTTTGATTTTATCTAGATAAAAGCAGGGCAGCGAGACAATCGCGGAGCTGCGGACGCCGCGGGTCGAGACCGTCATCTATAAGGCGTGTCAGTGTTCGGGCAACCCGCCGACGCGGCCTCATAGAGCAGCTGCTGAGGCAGGAGCGGACCGCGTGATGGTTCGCTTGGAAACCGCTCCGGAGGAAGAGTCAATCGCCGCGTTGGAGAGCATCGCTCAGACGGTGCTGTAAGCGACTTCACTTGCGTCGCAATCTGTAAGTTCGGCAGGCTCGTTAAGAGCTGATGCAGAGAAAGTGCTCATCGCGGGCCTGTTGAACTATGAGGAGCCCTTCGCTCAGCCGCGTCGCAGCAGCGGTAGCACCTTTTCGCCGAAGAGCTTCATCGACGCCTGCGCCTGCTGTGTGTCCATCTCGCCCGTGTTGAACTTCAGCATCATATTGCGCACACCGGCCGTCCTCCCTTGCGGCATTTCGTCTGACTACACTGCCTGGGCGTCGGTCGTACCATGATGAAAGACATGGGGAGATTTCAGAGACCGATGATGTGCCGCTGACCATCTGAGGGGGGCGGCCGACCACCGAGTGCCAGACGGCCGCGCTCTCGCACGAACTGTCGTCGTTCGCGCGCGCACCCCAACGACACACCCACGCACGCGCGAAGCACGCTCAGATGCCTCTCGCGCTCGCCGTAGCTGTCGCCACGAAGAGATCCTCGACGCCCAACACTGATCAAGGGCACTCTCGGTCGCCTGCTCATCGAAGCCGGCCTTCCCGCCTGGTGTCGCGCGTAGGCGTGCTCTTAGCGACGCGAGCGACTCCACGCGCATAGGCCCAGCATCACAGCGGCTACCGATTTTCGCCAGTGCGAGATGTGAGTGCCTCACTGATGCATGCGCGAACCCCGGGGTGGGTGTGGCTTCTGATACGGCGAGGGGCTCAACAACGCACCACCCCACACACACCCCGCCGCCACGCCACACCCCTCGCACGCAGCATCTGAACATTCGACCTGACAGTGGTCGCCCTCGTGTTGAACGCGTTATCGTCACGCCTCACGAGCAGCTCTCTCGGACTCGTCGTTCAGGCGCTCTATGCGTCCTCCATGATCATGCCGAAGCGATTGTATTCGTAGTAGAAGTGATTGAACGCGAGCCGCGCCCCGTGCCGACGATCAGACGACCGTGCTCGGTTTTAGTCGAGCACGAGGTCTGCGCCGCAAGGCGAAGCGAATGGCTGGCCTGAGCATGCGCAAGCTCACGACGCGCAAAGCGATTTTCACGCGCTTAGTGCGCGCCGCCACCGCCGCGCCAAACACCAGTGGATCGGCATATCGCAACTGCGCGTCGAAAGTGGTGCTCCGTAAGCCAGTTGCATCCAAGCCGTGCGCTCTGCCAGCTCAATCTCTTCGAGGGTGCTGTCTCTGACCGACCGCTGTCACTATACTGGATGGTGGCGTACCGACACTTACAAACGAACTGATCTCATGATGCTCGCGCCTGCCTTGATTTCAACCTGTCAAGTATATCGCACTCATCCTCTTGCGCCTTGCCTTGCCCCATGCGAGAGTACCACTTGGGCATTCTCGCACAGCAGCGTCAAGGAGCCTTGTCGATATGAACAACTACCATCCCCACGACAGCGAGGCCCTGCGCAGAGCTTCGTTGCGCTATCTATGATGCACAACCGCGACTGGACGCAGATGGCGGAGGAGTGCGAGCCGCAGATATCGAGGCAGCGGTCACGGCGTGCGCGGTACGGACTCCGAAACGGGCCAAGTCTCTGATTGATGTCAATGGTGGCTACAACTCGGTCAAGCGCGATACGGGACGTCGTACCGAGATTGGCGACGAAGCCGCCTATGAGCAGATGCGTCAACTTGCACTACTTCCGCAAGGCACACGTACTTACCGTTCGATGGCGAACCTGGCGGCAAGCCGCCGAGATACTCACGGCCCGCTATCGCGCGTCTGTTTCGGTCAGCGGCGGCTCTGAGGCAACGAGATGCACTGGAAATCGCGGGCGCTTATACTAGAGCGTCGGTGAGCCGGGGCGCTACAAGGGCTAGTCGGGTGGGTTCGTATCACTGCATGACGGGGGCCGTGTTATGGCTAGGCGGCAGTCGTATTCAGCCGCGCCACGACTACGAGCGCCAATTTACCCCGGAAATTGTGCATACGTCCTCCGGAGCGCCTAACGACTTACCGCTCCACTAC